GAATGAATGAATGAATGAATGAATGAATGAATGAATGAATGAATGAACGAACGAACGAACGGACTGACTATTGAGATGGAAGAAAGACCATTAGACCATTGTTCATGCTTTAGAAACTTCTCTGACATTATGTTTGAAAGCATTTTGTCTTATGTATCTGATTGATGTTGACAATAGTAGACTTTCCTTTAGTTTAAGCTTCTAGCTTGAAACACAAACATTTCCTGTTGTTTTTTTTTTTAAGAATTGCATGCATAGATGAACTTTTGAAGGTATTTTGTTCTAGACTGCCATTATATTCAATGTTTTTTTCTTGTAACTTTCTGATGGGACTTAAAACTCTCTAATTGGACTCAGCATCAGACTCAACATCTGTTTGGTCGTGGTACATAGGGCCAGACCTAAAGAAAAGGTACAATGTCTGTTCCCAAAGCAAACACTCACCAAGCTCACGTTCATGTGTGTATTTGTGCATTTGTGAGTATGGGGAGAGAATATTCCACCACCTCTGGTTATTGTCCATAGTGGATACAATTTTGTGGGTGAATGGTAGGGCTTCTGTGTCTCCCTATCATACTAGCAGCCTGCTTAAAATACTAATGACTTCACTCCTCACACAACTTACAGGATGATCCTGGGTCCTCAGCCTCTTGATTTAAACAACTTGTCGGAGGTGGCGAAATGAGCCTCCCCAGAAGGGTTTCCTTTTCCCTCCCCTCAGGTCTTTTTCTAATGGGCCAAGCCTCTTTACACTTGGGAGCAGACTGCATCATTCTCTCTGTTTGGAACAGGGAGAGGAATTTGCTAGCGCTCTTGTTACCCTCAAGTAGATACAGGTTAACTCTGCCCATGGCACTTTTCTTTGGAATGGAGAGGGAGGGATGCATGTGTAGGTGAACTTGTGCTTATCTGCATAGCCAAGAAGTAAAGAATATGTCTACATGAAATAAAGAGAAATGTCAAATTCCGGAAAACCTATAGTTATGAGAAATAGTTTAGTTGTGGAAACCACCAGTGTTTTGTCCATGTGTTCATGTTGTCTGGATTATTGATTTGACATCCTTATTGTAAAAAGGTAGACTGCCAATCACTCTGTGATCAAAGTGGCATGTACACATAATGTTAGAAAGAAGATATTGCAGAGACGAAGTAATTTCATGCTGAGTTATGCTTTCTTTTGTCCTTCAGGGCCTGCCCAATCACCATTGGAGGATAACTTTTATTAATAAGTTCTATGAACTCTGTGACACATACCCTGCTCTTTTGGTGGTTCCCTATCGGGCCTCAGATGATGACCTCAGGAGAGTTGCAACTTTTAGATCCCGAAATCGGATTCCTGTGAGTACCATGTCACATTTCTCTCAGAGAATACCTTTTCTTTCATAAGAACAGTAGACATGTAACTCAGAGGCCCACTCTTTTTCTGGAGTTTCATTTTGATAAGTAATTACCAAGGATCTACTGCAAGCTTGGCACCAGCTGAAATGGGAGAAGAAACAACACCTGTCTTCTAGGAGCTCCGAATCCAGGGTGCAGAAGGAAAGCAGGGAAAAAGCTCTAAATGAGAGTAGTAGTGAGAGTGTCACACCTCAACGCAGTGATGTAGGGAAGAAAGGACAGGCTCTTGGCTGCTGTCAGCATTGTGGGTCATGCTAAATGTTGCTTAATCTGTGCTGCAAAGAAAAGACTGGAATGTTAGGGCATGTGTTTGTGTAGTCTTTTCTGCCTATGCTAGGATGTGCTTATCCTCATCCTGTTTGTAAGCTGCTTCAGATTCTTAATGAACTGGAGTCAAGTACAGATTATTCCAGACATTATACTACCATGTCACTGAACCTAGCTCACAAAGTTCCTTTTCAGTCCATGCATACTTGCCATACTTTCTACTAGGTACATGAATTTTATTGACTAAAAACTTAGACATTTTTTTCTTCCTCTGTTAATTTTCAAAAGCTGTCATAATAAGTACATTAAATTTTGCTTTAAGTTAGTAGACTAAAAAAAACAATGTTTGAAGAAAGTAGGATTTAATGTCACCTTGCCTTTGACTGCTAAATGTAGACATTCTTTTCCATAAAAGGATTGGTTTTTTTTGGGGGGTGGGGGGTGGGAATATTGTCAGCCTATGAGGAGTTCTAAGCTTTAAAATCTCTTCTTTCACTGATTAGTATATGTTCATCTTTCCCTGAGAAAATTGTACTTGAAAGTGTGTTCTTTAGCTCGTTTTGTTAAAATGTGAAGAGTTAGAAGTTCAGTTTTATGCTACAGTTGAACATTTTTTTTTACTAGTAGAGCCACAGACTGTACTACTGTGACATTAGACACTTGTCTTCTGGTATGTGCTTTGCCATAGAGGGAGAACTGGGCTAGTATTGTATGCGTGAGTTTGGTCCACTATCTACTCAGCCTTCATTGAACATCTATTATGTTGAAAATAGTGTGTGTGTCTGTGTGTGTGTGTGGTGGTACTATAAGCCTGATCATATGCTGTTTCCAAAATACTTTCTGATCATGTCACTCTTGACAGTAGGTCTCAGAACATTTGCCTAGAAATTGGATATGCCAGTTATATGAACACAAGTATTATGTGGTTCTTTAAAAACAAATGTAAAAATAAAAAAAAAAACAATAGGTAAGAAATATCTCATTTAAGCATAAATCAGGTACACATTGTAATAAAATACCACTGGTTAGTGAACTCATGCATATGCTTTCTGCTTCTGTTAATGGATATATATTCCTTTTCTCAAACAAACAGGCTTATCTTGATTTTATAGAAGCTGCTAATGGATAAGTGATATGTGATCACTTGAGATATTTAGAAAACACTAGTAAGCAAAACCCAGCCTGCCACCTAGTGAGAAGCAGCAGCACCATGTTGTATATATCCTTCTACTTCATCTGTGTGCTGAACTATCCTTTAATGTGGATCCAAGCTCCTTTTCTTCCCTAGTAATCTATTGCAACTGTACTTTTTCATAAACAAATCATACAGTATTGTCTCGATGTGCAATACTATAATCTGTTTTCTATTGTTAGTGCTCTAGGTCCTTTTTGACTTTTGCTTTTATGAGCAATGCTATGGGCCAGGGAAATTGTTCAGTGAATAAAGACTCTTGCTGCTAAACCTGACAGTCTGAATCTCATCCCTGGTACCAACATGATCAAAGAAGAGAAATGATTCCCATAACTTATTCTCTGACCTCTGCACGTGTTCTGTGGTATATGTATGCCCACTCACATATCCTTCCACAAAAGTAAATAAAATTCTAAAAGTAAAAGGTAAATAAATAATGCTATGATGAATATTTTCATTTTTTAAATTTTATTTCCATTGGGGTTTTGTCTGCATGCATGTCTGTGTGAAGGTACCAGATCCTCTGGAACTGAAGTTATAGACAGTTGTGAGCTGCCATGTAGGTGTTGGGAATTTGAACCTGGTTCCTTCTGGAAGAGAAATCAATGTTCTTATCCACTAAGGCATCTCTTCCAGCCTCTTGTGATAAACATTTTTAGTGACTACATTTTTATTTTATTTTATTGGTTTATTGAGACAAGGTTTTTCTGTGTAGCCCTGGCTGTCCTAGACTTGATTTGTAGACCAGATAGGCCTTTAACTCAAAGAGATTCACCTGCCTCTGCCTCCCAAGTGTTGGAACTGAAGGTGTGCGCTACCATGCTCAGCCATGACTACATTTTTACATACATTTTTAATTATCCATGGCTTCTCAATATTAATTTCAATGTCAATAATATAAACTAGATAATTTAAAATAAAATACTCTCACTATTTGTACCCATCTACATCAAATACCATTTTTTAAAGGTATCTGGTATCCAGGGAGCTGGAGAGATGGATCAGTGGTTAAGAGTTCAAACTACTCTTGCAGTAGAAAAGGGTTAAATTCTCAGCACCCACATGGTGGCTCAGAATAATCTATAACTTCAATTCAAGGGAATCAAATGCCTTCTTCTGGCCTCTGAGGGAAACAGGCATACATTCAGGCAAAACATACATACACAAAAATAAAAAGGCAGACTCCTTCCCCTAACCCATCCAAAAAAAAAGTAGAATTTAAGAGATAATGCAGCTTTATAAAGAGTAGCATTTCCTAACATGGCAGTGCAGAGAGAAGAGAAAGATTTTGACCTGATTTAAATGTCAAAGTCTCTTGCATAGGTAGCATTTTGCTTCCTTTAAAGGTGATCTCATGTTTTTCATCACTCTTGAAACACAGCTCATAGGAAGTAGGTGGAATTTTCCAGGGCTTCCTAAGATCTGAGTCTCCTTGGTTTGGGCTGCTATGTGTTGAACTGGTCTCCAGCATGGCACAAGGACTTAAGTATTTGTTCTGGGGACAAACGCACATTCTTATAATAACATGACAATTTCTCACAGCATCATAATAAAACTGTATTGTTAAAATCCATGTTTGTCACTTGTCATCATAGAGGAATAACTTCAGAGTCATCAGAATATTTGATTTTATATTAAGTGAGCCCAAATAGTTATGTTCTTTCATCCTTGTGTCTGTGTTTCATCATTTTTGGAAATGATTTTGCTGGCTGTGGAGCCTGCCTCCAGAAGCTAATGTAAGCTCACATTTATTGCGTATTTTATGGGCATTCTTCCTTTTGTCTTCCCAGCAGTCATCTATGGTCATTATTATTCTCTCCATCTGACCGGGGCAGGGGCTATGAGTTCAGTGCCTGAGGGTAGTGCCACAGGAAAGCTGGTTGCTTTCTGCATTTCCTTCATATTCATAAACATTCACAGTTGACTTTGTAGTGTCACTGTACTTATATATATTTATAGGGCTCAGTGTACTATATCAGTACTACATAACTAACTAGCATATTCATCACCTCAGATAGTTAACATTGCTTTGTATTGGGAGCACTTGAAATTCTATCAGCCATTTTGAAGTATCAGTTAAATACTACTGTCCACTATAGTTATCCAGCTGTGGTAAGGAAAATGAGAGTTAGGCCTTCCCCACATTTTCAGAAGCACCTGCAGTATGATGCAGCTGGATGATTTTTTAGTATATTATGTTATCAGCTACCATTTATGTACACACTTTTCCGTATGCTTTGAGTGACCTGAGAAACTCAGCATCAATGAGCCAGGTTTGCCAGTCAATTGATGAGTAACCCTCAGGGCAGGCCACATATTCCCTTTTAAGCATTGTGATCCAGATTTTGCAGTGGAGAGTGGTATCTCTCTTGACCACCAAAATCCTTCTTTGTTTCTTTTGTGTCTTCCTCTTCCTATGTTGCATTTTAGAATTGGTACTGTTACGTAAAGGACCCATAGACATAAGTTACCTCCATGGGCAGCACAACGATTCCTTTGCCCTTTACAGTAAGTTCAAATTGTCTTCATATGATAACACATCCAGCACAAATTGCCAAATTCCAATAATGGCAGACACTTTCCACATCCTTTCAATATTTCAGCTTTGTTCTGATGATAGCATTAATTTATAGTGTTAATTTTAAAAGAAAGGCTGATAAAACTGAATGCTCTGATTATTTCTGAGCAAGTGTAAGTATTAAATGTGTGTTCTGATATCACACACTGAAATACACAAAGGAGCAAGTATCCTGTTTCAGCAAAGATTTGCTTCATCATATTTGTCAGTTTTAGCGATTCTGGAGATTTGCTAGATTAAACTTTCTGAACTAACCATAGGTACTATCGTGGATTCATCCAGAAAACAAGATGGTCATTATGCGCTGCAGTCAGCCTCTTGTCGGCATGAGTGGTAAAAAGAACAAGGATGATGAGAGATATCTGGATGTAATCAGGGAAACTAACCGACAAACTTCTAAGCTCACGATTTTTGATGCACGACCCAGTGTAAATGCAGTGGCCAACAAGGTGAGTGTAGTCAATAAGACCTGCAGTGTTTGATATGAATGGGTTTTCCATAGTACATCAATCAATATGTGGATTTATTTTGATATTTCATGTAATTAATCTTTTTTAAGTCAGGCTCTCACTAGGCTGTAATCCCAGCACTGGGAAGGTAGAGACAAGAAGAGAGAGAGTTCAATGTCATCCTCAGCTATATAATGAGTTATAGGCCAGCTTGACTTACTTTAGACCCTGTCTTCAAAAAGTAAAAACTGAATGAATGAACAATAGCAAAAGAAACATTAAAACCATTAAAGCCTAGTGTGGTCATATATACCTGTAACACTCATAATCCCAGCACCATGGAGACAGAGGCAGGAAGATCCAACATAGTTTAAGCCTATAATCTCAGTAAAGGCTGAGGCTGGAGGATTGTCATTAGTAAACAGTGAGACCCTGTCTAAAACAAGCAAAAAAAAATCAAACAAAAGCACAAAACAAGCCAAAGCAATCCTTCATTAAAAGGCATGTCTAGAACTGTAATGAAAGTGGGTTTTGTCTAGAACCTTATGCAGAAGATAGTCTTTGGAGCCCATGTGGCTCTGTGTGGTCACTTTCATTGTATGAATTGGTGGCAAATCTTCAGGGAATTGTAGGAAGCTGCTTTATTAAAATCTAAAGTTTGTACTTTTATCTGAAGACTTCATCATGCATACCATTTGTACTCATAAATGGTCATTTACATAAGATAGTTGAAGATATGAATAGGTCTGTGTATGGATTTTCTAATCACAGACATAAAAGCTGAATTTTTAGAAAGCAAATCTTAATTGTCTTTTTACCTTTTCAAGCAGAATATGTGAAATATACTTCAAGTTTATTAGGGTCATCACTGCAAACCTCAGTGACTATATGATGTTGCCCCCAAAAGCTGCTGTAAAAAAAGAAGCTTGTTTGCCCTCTACTAAATTACCTCAGATTGACAGGCCTCCCTTGCTTTGGGAGCTTTGGGGGAGGAGTTGTATTGGTTTGTTTGTTTTGTGGTTTTGGTTGGTTGATTGTTTTAGACAGGGTCTCCCTGTTTAATTTAGGCTGCCTTGGAGTTCATGGCAATCCTCTAGTCTCAGTCTCCTACATACCGAGTTATAGACTTAAGCTAAGTTGCCTAGTTTCTGCTTTTGTAATTTTTGATTCTCTCATCTTTCCCTGTGTCATTTCCAAATGCTCACAAGTAAGCCTGCCACAAGTTGCTCACTCCCAGATTCTGTCTTTCAGATTTATTCTGTTCAACTGTAGGCTTAAATTTCACCATCTTCAGTGCTTTGCTCATCCCAAGGTCACTTATCTGACATCTTTAATTATTCAGAACCCATCAAAACAACCTGAAAGCAGAGCGAGTCCTTGAGAAGCCATTTCTGAAATGGAATGTATGTGAAGTCTGTCTCCCTAGGATGTGTCAGACTGTGGATGTGTATACGTCTTAGCTCTTCACCATTTGTACGTGACTCAGCTGTCCTACACTGTTAATCCTAGGCATTCTGCCCTGGCCTCATGCATGGTTTACATGAGTTATTTGTTAACATAGTTGAGGTTTATGTAGAAATAATTTCAAACTTCTTGTAAAACAGTTATGAAGTTGAATTGGTAGTCAATTAGGAATTATAAGTAAAGCATTTAGGAAATTAAATCTAAATATGATTTTGGGTTATCCTTAATTTTATATATTTTGAATCCCATTATCCTTCATATATAATTCAAGGTGAATACATGTATAAAATACAATATTTCCATGTACTGACAGCTTGAAATAGATATGATAGAAAATTAAAATATTTAGGAAGAATGTTTTAATATATTAAAGTGTGTGAAACGAATACCATAGTGATATTAAACTGTAGAGCCCATTATAGCAACAGAATTTTTTCTTTTTGTATTTAATTTTATTATGAGAATGAAATTTCATGATTTCTTTGTTTTTGTTTTTTTAATTTTTTATTAATTACACTTTATTTACTTTGTATCCCCCCGTAGTTCCCTCCCTCCTCCCCTCCCAATCCCTCCCTTCCACCATCTTCTCCATGCATGCCCCTCCCCAAGTCCTGGTAGGGGAGGTACTCCTCTCCTTCCTTCTGATCTTAGTCTGTTAGGACTCATCAGGAGTGGCTGCATTGTCTTCCTCTGTGGCCTGGTAAGGCTGTTCCCCACTCAGGGGAAAGTGATCAAAGAGCAGGCAATCAGTTCATGTCAGAGACAGTCCCTGTTCCCATTACTATGGAACCCGCTAGGAGACTGAACTGTCATGGGCTACATCTGTGCAGGGGTTCTGGGTTATCTCCATGCATGCTACTTGGTTGAAGTATCAGTCTCAGGGAAGACCCCTGTGCTCAGATTTTTTGGTTCAGCAACAGAATTATTGAATGTCTTTTTAATGTTCCAGAAATAAGCCTCTGTTTCTTGTCCTCTTAAGAATGAAAAGAAGGAAAATATTAAGGAAAACAAAACAAAACAAAATGGAACACCTAAGCCTTAAAGCACTCTGGGTCATTCTTTTAAAACCCCTCCTCCAGCTCTGTCTCCCCACTAATTGTCTATATCCATAGCAACAGGCCCTTGGCCCTTTAGAGCTTTCTAGGTAATTTGGGTTATTCACTTTTATTGAAGGAAGAAAAACCAAAGTGAAAACTTCAAAAGTAACCAGAGATGAAGAATTTGAACTTTGGGAATTCAGTCTATGCTTGACTAATTGATTTTTACCCTCGCTAACTTCTGTTCTCCTTGCCCCTAATAATTGTTCCTCCTCTGTGGATATTTAGATGTAATCAGCAGCATCACATCATTTTCAATTAAACAAAACCCAGAGCTGGTAAGATCTAGCACCACACCTCTTCTACTTGGGGACAGAGCACTGTGATAGATAAAAGTAGGGCTCTGTTAATATCTGGTTTTGCCAGAAACTTTGGCAATGATTAAAACATGTATTTTTTTTCTTTTCTTTTCTTTCTTTTTTTTTTTTTTACACATCATGCTCAGTTATTATTGAAAGGAACTCCAGTATCAAGTGTCTCTGAAAGTCCCCCATAATTATGTAAGAGCCACACATGCAGAGGAGTAAGCCCTCTGTCTATGGGAGGGTAAGCATGTCATTGTATTATATATAGGTCTGCAGAGCTAGCTAAAAGAGCTAGCCTAGCGGGCTCATATTTCCCAGGTCTGTGCCTGCAGCTTACAGAGGAACTGCCAGGCAGATGCAGAAACTCTGGCTTTCTACAAAATGTGAACAGTCAGAAAGATAAAAAGGTGATACATTTGTCTGCTGACTTATTAACAGAAAGTTCTTTTTAAATGGCAAGTAAAGGCTGGAGAGATGATTTCATGGTTAAAAGCAATTATTGCTTTTCCAGAGAAACTGGGTTTGGATCTCAGCATCCACAACTGTCTGTAACTACAGCTCCAGGAGATCTGACACCATCTAGCCTCAGCAATCACCTGCATACACACATTAAAAACAAGACAATGATGAAAATGAGAAAATAGAAAATAAGTGTGCTGGCTTACACCTGTGATCTTAGCACTTGGAATGCTGAGGCAACAGGATTGCCATGAGTTTGAGGCAAGCCTATATTATGTAGTAAGTTCTAGCCAGGCCTGTGGTACAGTGTGAGACCCTTAAAAAAAATACCAACAACAAAGAAATTATTTCTCATGAGCTTATTGCTGATGCTCTGTAAATAAGGTTTGAAAGAAGCAATCATGTCTAAATATGTTTTCTCCTCTGACCTGACACAGAGATTTCCAGGTTTGAAGATAAAATAGTCTTATTCTACTGCAAGAAGCCTCTATAAGTAACTCTGGGAGTAACAGGAACACTTGCTTTGCTCTTTCCACACTGTCTACAAGCTTATCTTCGTAACACTGATATAAACAAAAAGAGGAGGGATGTTGTGGGTATAACACATTTGCCTTCCACCTCTTCAGTCCCATACAAGTGTTTCCCTGTGTTCCTTCTACAGGCAGTCTAAAGTTAGTATGTCTTCAAAAATCTCAGAACTGTTTCACCTTTTCTTTTCTCTTCTCTTCTCTGCTCTGTTCTTCTCTCTTCTCTTTTTCTTTTCTTTTACTTTCTTTTCTTTTCCAAGACAGGGTTTCTCTGTGTAGCCTTGGCTGTCCTGGACTCCCTTTGTAGACCAAGCTGGCCACAAACTCACAGAAATACGTTAGCCTCTGCCTCCTTGAGTGCTGGGATTATGGGCATGCACTATCATGCCTGGCTTGTTTCACTTTTTCTTCAAGGGCCCAAATGTCACATTTCAAAAACCTTTAAACAAAGTACCACTAGCCATGTTTATAAAGAAACCCACAATGTCTCTTTACATCATTGTGGAAATGGATACTTTCCACAGTGTTGTGGTGGTGAACTAAAGCAAGTGAACACTGTTAACTACTATTAAGAACACTATTAAGTGGTTCAAGAGTAGCCTAATTGCCTAGTATGTACAAGGCCTTGAGTTCCATATGTGACACCACAGAAAGAACAGGAACAAAGTTTTGTGCTTGATAGAGTAGGCAGTGGCCATCTTGTCCCTCTTAGAACCTTGTGGGCCTACTATGTGCAGCTTTGTCCTTGCTGTTTTTATAGTGGAAAGATGGTCAGGATACAATGGAAAGGGTTTGTATGTTGAAATCAAAGCAGATGTAAATTCTATTTATTACTTGCATCATTTGGGAATGGATAACATCTGTCTTATAGCATTCCCGTAAGAGGTAAAATCACAAAGCACAACATCATAGAGCCTCATCAAAAGGAGTCTTGCCCTTTTTGTTCTGTTAGACCCAAAGAGTGAGCCCTATTTTACAGGAAAGGACATTGCTGTTTCAGCTTTAGTGTCTGGTACCAGATCTTGAGGTGAGAAGAGGCTTAAGCTAAGCTGTTGGCCTGTGACTGACTCCAAAAACTGTTTTCCCTTAACACATTATACCCTATGCGAATGTTCACAATGTTAGAGTACCTGCTGCTACATCAGTATGGCTACCCCTTCCCCAAACAGTACAATAATAACCACAAAATTGATGGAGGAGTAGGACTTTTCAGAACCTGGTTTTGCTTTTTTCAGATGTAAAAGAACTAGTAATTACTGAACATTTTGGAGGGAATATCATCTGATGAATTAAGTTGTCTGCCCCCAACCCAGGGAAATCAACAACCTTCCATATTTTTCTCTAGCTCAAAGTATGACTCAGGTTGCTAAGGCTTTGTGTTGGATAGGAAGTCAAAAATCATGTTAACTATTTAAATTAGTGGCATTTGGGATAAAATTTTGAAAATAAGTAAGATGTTTTGGCTAAGTTACAAATAAAATAGATATTAAGTTACAGATAAAATAGATATGTAACTGAATGTAATCTTGTTGTTTCTTAGGCAACAGGAGGAGGATATGAAAGTGATGATGCATATCATAACACGGAACTTTCTTTCTTAGACATTCATAATATTCATGTTATGCGTGAATCTTTAAAAAAAGTGAAAGACATTGTTTATCCCAACATAGAAGAATCTCATTGGTTGTCCAGTTTGGAGTCTACTCACTGGTTAGAACATATCAAGGCAAGTATACTTTATTTGCAGGTAGAGAAGAATATTTTGAAGATGAAATTTATTCTTAAATGTTTAAAAATTACATAGTGAAAATGAGACTATACTAAACAGTAACGCTGTATTTGACAGCATTATGTTTCTTTATATTTGGAGATTTTACAACATCAACCTATCTGATTTTTAAAGTCTGTAGAGCTGTCTCTTCCAGTCTTGTCAGTAGAAAGCAGTCTCATGTAGGTTTATTTAGGAGTAGCCAGTTTATTATTAAACTGTTACTAGGTATATCCCTCATGGACCTAGACAGAGGTGCAGGTTCTTTGTTGTTTTCATTTTAACAGCTTATTTCTGACTCATTTTAAAGAATGAGTTTTGCATTTTGATTACATTCAATCATTTGTCCTGATAGAAGCAATAAAAATTCTCTTTTCAAAGTATAAGTATTAGAAACTATTTTATCAGAGTAGCCCTTTTCGAAATTCTTTTTGATTTTTTTTTAAATTTCAGTTTATTTACTTAACATCCCAAGGGTGTCCCATCCCTCCTCTTCTCCAAGTCCCCCCTTTCCCTCCTTGCACTTTCTCCTCACTCTCCCCCCACCGAAACCCCGCTTTCCCCATATCATCCCTCCTGAGTAATCAAGTCACATCAGGACTAAGCAAATCTTTATCCCCTGAGGCCAGGCAAGGCAGTGCTGCCAGGAGGAAGTGATGCAAAAGCAGGTAATAGAGTCCATTGTTAGAAACAGACCCCCTCCACTCGCCAGGTGACCCATATGAAGACCAAGCTGCCCATTGGCCACAAGGGGCCTAGGTCCAGATCATGCATCCTCCTTAGTTGATGACTCAGTTTCTGTAAGCCCCCATGGGACTATGATAGTTGTCTCTGCTGCTCTTCTTGCGAGGTTTCTGTTCCCTCTATGTCCTTCCATCTTCCTCCCAACACTTCCACAGGACCCGCAGAGCTCTGCCCCATGTTTGGCTGCAAGTCCCAGCGTCCTTCTTGATCTGCTGTTCTCTGGAACCTCCCAGATGACAGACAAGTTAGGCTCCTGTCTGCAAGCAAAGCAGATCATCATTAATAGTGTCAGGGGCTGGCTCTCTACCTTAGGGTAGGTCTCAGGTTGGGCCAATTATTAGATGGGCATTCCCTCAATCTTTGTTCCCACATTATTCCTGTAATTTTTATAGGCAGGGTAATTTTTGGATCAAAGGTTTTGTTGGTGGATTGTAGTCCCCTACCTTCCACTAATCTTTCCTGGCTAGGAGATGGCCATTTCACTCTTCCTGTCCCCCTCTGTTAGGAGGTAGTCACTTCAGTCTTCATGTCTTCCCCCCACCCCATTACGAGTCTCAGATAGAGTCATACCCATATCCTCCAAGGAGCCTACTCTGTCACAAGCTTCCAGCTTGACAAAGGGATGTCCCCTCTCAGTTTCTCTTCTTGCTTCCAGTCCTCTCCCCTTCCACTTCCATTCTCCCCACATCTGATTCCCTACCCCTTTTTTCCCTCCCCATTCCATCTCCTGCCCAGTTTCCTCTCTTCATCCACTTCTATTTCCCCTTCTGAGTGACATTCCGGCACTCTCCCTTGGGCCCTCCTTGTTACTTAGATTCTTTAGGTCTGTGAATGGTAGTATGGTTATCCTGTACTATAGGTCTAATATCTGCTTATAAGTGAATACATACCATATGTGACTTTCTGGGTCTGGGTTACCTCACTTAGGATGATCTTTTCTAGTTCCATCCATTTGTCTGCAAATTTCATGATTTCTTTGTTTTTAAATGTACCATAATTTCTGTATCCGATCTTCATTTGAGGGACATCTAGGTTGATTCTAGATTCTGGCTATTACAAATAAAGCTGCTATGAACATAGTCGAGTAAATGTCCTTGTTGTATGGTAGAGCACCTTTTAGGTATATGCCTAGGAGTAGTACAGCTGGGTCTTAAGGTAGAACTATTCCCAATTTTCTAAGAAAGCACCAAATTGATTTCCAGAGAGGTTATACAAGTTTGCACTCCCACCAGCAATGAAAGAGTGTTCCCCTTTTCCACAACCTTACCAGCATGTGATGTCACTTGAGTTTTTGGTCTTAGCCATTCTGACGGGTGTAAGATGGAATCTTCGAGTCATTTTGATTTGCATTTCTCTGATGGCTAAGGACATTGGGTATTTCTTTAAGTGCTTTTCGGCCATTCTAGATTCCTCTGTTGTGAATTCCTGGTTTAGCTATTACCCCATTTTTCATTGGATTATTTGATTTGTTGATTTTTAATTTCTTAAATTCTTTGTATATTTTGGATATTAGTCCTCTGTTGGATGTAAGATTGGTGAAGATCTTTTCCCAATCTGTAGGCTTCTGTTTTGTTCTATGGACAGTATCTTTTGACTTACAGAAGCTTCTCATTTTCATGAGATCCCATTTATTAATTGTTGATTTCAGAGCTTGTGCTGTTGGTGTTCTGTTTAGGAAGTTGTTTCCTGTGCCAATGAGTTCCAGACTTTTCCCCATTTTGCCTTCTAATAGATTTAGAGTCTCTGGTTTTATGTCAAGGTCTCTAATCCACTTGGACTTGCATTTTGTGCAGGGTGATAAGTACGGGTCTATTAGCATTTTTCTACATGCAGACATGCAGTTAGACCAGCACCATTTGTTGAAGATGCTTTCTTTTTTTCCATTGTATGGTTTTGGCTTCTTTGTCAAAAATCAACTACCTGTAGGAATGTGGGTATATATCTCCGTCTTCACTTTGGTTCCATTGATCAAGCTGTCCATTTCTATGCCAATACCATGCAGTTTTTATTACTATTGCTCTGTAGTATAGCTTGAAATCAGGGGTGTTGATACTGCCAGAAGTTCTTTTATTGTACAGCATTATTTTGACTATCCTGGGATTTTTTTTAATTTTTCCATATGAATGTAATGATTGCTCTTTCCAAGTCTGTAAAGAATTGTGTTGGAATTTTGATGGAAATTGCATTGAATCTATAGGTGGCTTTTGGCAGGATGGCCATTTTTACTATGTTAATCCCAGTGATCTATGATCATGAGAGATATTTTCGTCTTCTAAAATCTTCAATTTCTTTCTTCAAAGACTTGATGTTCTTGTCATACAGATCTTTCACTTGCTTGGTTAGAATTACACCAAAATATTTTATATTATTTATTGCTAGGGTTTTGTTTCCCTAATTTCTTTTTCAACCCTTTTGTCATTTGTATAAAGGAGGACTGCTGACTTTTTTGAGTTAATTATGTATCCAGACACTTTGCTGAAGGTGTTTATAAGCTATAGGAGTTCTCTGGTAGAATCTTGCAGGTCAGTTGTGCAACCATATAGTTTTCTAAACAAACTAACTAAAAGTATATTTTAAGCAAGTGAATTATTAAGTTTTATTGTTCTCTAATGACATTATACTTTCTTACTGGACAGGAATTGTATTTTTTCCTAACTTTTATTTTTCTTAATTTATCATCCTCTAAAAAATGAATTAAAAATAATTAATTGTGGCAGAGTTATTAAAATGTAATATCCTGAATGGAACTTTAGAAAAGAAAGGGGTCATCAAGTTAAGCACTAAGTTAATGTGGTTCAGCAACTAAGAACACTGGCTGCACTTTCAGAGAGCCTAGGTTTGATTCCCAGCACCAACACTGTGGCTCACAACTCTCTGTAACTCCAGCTGCAAGGGAGCTGATGTCCCCTTTGCATGTCCCAGGCACACACATGGTACAAAGACATACATGCAAGCAAAATACTCATACACATAAAGGAAATAAATATAAAAGCCCTAAGGAAATAGGAATGAAGTATGGACTTTTAAAGCAATAATCTAATGATAAATATTTTAGTAATTAATGTTATGTCAGTATAGGTCCCTTAATTGTGCGTAGTACCCCTTGCAACAATGCTGATAAGAAGGGAAACTGGGCTAGTTACTTGAAAGGTGCTGTAGTATGTAGTACCTTCACAGCTTCTCTGTGTTTCTGAAATCATGCTAAAACTTAAAATACATATTTAAATAAGATAGTTTTACTGCAGATCATCATGTTAGAACCTGTGAAGGAGAAAAAGGGAAATATGTATTTCTGGCCCTTAGGAAGATAAATAGATGGGATGGTTGAAGAAATTAAAAGAAAACATCTTATTCTAAAATAGTATGTTTTCAGTTCAGAGTAGGCCTTCATAGCAAAGTCAGCTGAGAAATAAAGCTTGACCTAGTCCTTCCAGAAAGCAGAGTGGAGATTCTATTCTAACCAAGACAGCTTTGGTGAGTGCTGAGAAACTGCTTTTGATTAGTCCAAGTTAACAAGAATGTCATGTTTTGTTTTGTATTTTTAGTTTGCAATGGTCTTTAAATGATGAAGTTGATAAGACTAAGAAACATTTTTAAGTGGTATTGGTTTAGCAAGTGATCTGGAAGAAACCAGGCAGCCAGGACCTTGACTGTCAAGTGCTAGGGAGAGGTTCCAAGGTTTAGAAACGGTTAATTAATATAGGGAACTGTTCTAGGAGCTGACTGTGTTGTTAAGAGAAGAAAGAATGTGAAGTTAGAAAAAGAAGGTTAAAAATTGCAATGTCAATACAAGAATGAAGGGGCTACTAGATACAAGTTGATTCTTATACAGAGCCTCTGATGTGTGGTGATTTAACTAGATGTAAGATGTACAGAAATAAAAACTTCCACGAGGAAGGTGAACTCATTTGCCTGAGAAGATGAGGCTTCCATTTTCAGTTGAAGGCTCAAGAGAAACATTGTGCTTTCGGGTGGGTACGATCTGACAGGCAGACTCTCAAGTAAAGTAGAACTCAAGATAGAGACTTGGAACTGAAATATGAGCTTGGGATTCAGTTATTGAGCAGTAAACAGGCTGAGTCCTTGAACAAGCCTGAGAGAGGTTCCAGATGATAGGAAGATCCAGAGACCCAGAATGGAGCCAGGTCAGGCTTGGAATCAGCATAGAAGGAGAGTGGGATTCAGTGAAGTCACTCCTAAAGACAGAGCTCAAAAGAAGATGTTGGAGTGTCTAGAAGTAGCCCAAGAAGAAACACTCAGTGGCACTTGAAAGTTCTCCTCGAGGATTTTAGAGGGTCAGCATCTATGAGTAGCTGGCAATGATACGGACATTTAGGAAATTCAGGTCATGCATGTAAGTTGTTCTTTTGCAGATGAAATAAGGACTGGGGAGATTTATCAGTGGTTAGAGTACTTGACACACAAGTATGAGGGCTGGAATTTAGATCTCCAGAACTCACATAATTGCCATTGTGTGTGGCAACCTACCAGCCTATAAGTCTAGTTTTCTGAAGGGTGAGAAAGCAACTCTTCAGAACAAACTAGCTAGGCAGACTAGTCATTGATGAGCTCTGGGACCAACTGAAAGTCCCTGTCTCAATGAATAAATTAAAAGGAAGAAGATTCCCAATGGCAACCTGGGGCCTACATATACACCTATGCCCACATACACCTAAACACCCACATCCATGCACTGGCTTCTGCACAATGGATGGCCTGCCATCCATAGGTTTCCTAACTTTCTTTCATTGGTTCCCTATCTTGTTTACCTGTCTCTCCTGAGTTTATGGGAAAATAACAAGCTTTCATAATTTCTATTTGTCAGATGGTTCACTTACACTAACTTTTCTTTAAATAAGTTTCAGTCACATTTTTTCGGTAACTTTGAGTTAGTTAAAACAACCACAGTCCATATCTGAGCACAGTGTTAGAATTTGGGGCACGTTATGGAATACATCTTAGAAAATCATCTTTTAGCTCAGCAGCTAAGATTGATCACCGTGCAAGCCTGGCCACCAGAATTCAGCCCCCAGAGCACATATTCATGTGGAAAGAGATAAATATGTTCTACACAGTAGTCCTTTGACCTCCACAAATGTATTGTGGCATGCATACCCACACATACATGAGGTTATGTACAAATATGCACACGATGTGTTTTTTAAAATTAACTCACAGTGACAAAAATATGCAAGTAACTATTAAGCACTTGAGATACAACCCTCAGAAGATAAAACCTTCGTACAATACTGGAAGTAATGTGAGGTGGTATAACAAATTTCCTTAAAAGTTTGTTTTTTAAAATAAGCATACAGTTTTGCCTTGAGCATATATGTGCCATATAACCCAGTCCTTTCACTTACAGATGTTTACCTAAGAAGAAAAAAAATAGTAAGTCCTATCAAAAATTAAGGATGCAAAAAGTCCACAGTAGCATGGATTGTAGAGTACAAATGCTAGAAACTACCAAATGTCTATCAGCTGAAGAATGGATGAATATCTGTTCACACAACACAATATTATTTGCCCATTAAAACAACTGAAGGACTGCTAAAAGAAAGAAAAACTCAGAGCATCTAAAAGTGATGCCTAAAAGAGCAGAGAGAGATTCTCAGGATCCTGTAGTTACTGATGTTCTGATTTTTGATAAGAATTGACCTGTGAATGCAGGACTTGCACTAGAGTGATATTGGCGCAGTATCAGAGCTCCCTGCTGCTCTCTGCTGACTTGCATGTTTTTCTTTACCAGCTTGTACTGACAGGTGCCATTCAAGTTGCAGACAAAGTTTCTTCAGGGAAGAGCTCAGTTCTTGTGCACTGCAGTGATGGATGGGACAGGACTGCTCAGCTGACATCCCTGGCCATGCTGATGCTGGACAGTTTCTATAGGAGTATTGAAGGTTTTGAGATATTGGTACAGAAAGAGTGGATAAGTTTTGGACATAAATTCGCATCTGTAAGTAAACGCTAAAACTGTCCTATTAAATCAGTTGGGATTTTAAGAAATTGTTTTCTGTACCATATATTAAGTTTTTACATGAGATTCTGAGGAGTTGCCAAGAAAGGTGACATCGCTTTTAGTCCCAGCACTAAGGAGGCAGAGGCTGGTGGATCCCAATGAGTTTCAGGCCAGCCTGGTCTGCATAGCAAGTTCCAAGATAGCCAGAGCTACATAGGTCTTATCTCAAAAAAAATCTAAGGAATCTAAATTAAAATCCCTTTATGGTTTCAAAAAATGTGTAAGGCCTTGGGCTAATGGAATTCTTTATAAGACATGTGTTTATCTATATTTATTATTTCTAGTAAGACTCAAAAGTAATGTAATAAAGTATGCAGAGAAATAAATAGAGACTTAGGAGGCTAAGAAAGCAAGATTTCAGTTAGTTTCAGCCAAGGCTACTCAGTGAGTTCCAGGCCTAGGCTATAAAGCAAAGTTTGTCTCAGAAAATTAAAAAAAAAAAAAAAAGGAAGAAATGCTTAAATTTGAATCTCTCAAAAGAAGGAAGATAGGATGATAGTTGTCTCTGGACTAATGTTAGAACTGTCAGGAGCAAACATACTTCACAGAATGGCACGTTTTTACTTGAGGCTTTTTATTATTCTATGACACACATTTGTTAAAAATCATCAAGAAAAATGCTTGCAATCAAATTTTTGGGTATTGTTTCCATATGCCCTTTGAATTAGCATCTTTTTAGAAGATTTGTTTATTTTTCATGTGTGTGTTGGTGGTAGGAGTGATCTGCATGTTTGTTTGTGCACCATGTTCACGCTGTGCCTCTGGAATCCAGAAGAGGGCATCAGATCCCCTAGGGTTGGGGTTATAGCTAGTTAAGCACCCTATGGGTGCTAGGAATTGAATCTGGACGGTCTGCAAGAATAACAAGTGCTCTTAACTCCCGAACCATGTCTCTACTACCCAGCTTCATGGTGATTCTCAGAGGATAAATATATCATACTAATAAAAATACTGTTTGGTCACCTTGTAGCCTTCATCCAAACTTCACAAATGATATGAGTAACATTTTCAAGCAGAATCAGTCACTGTTTAGTAAAGATATGGTGAGGGTTTTATTTGGGATCTAGCAGAGGAAGGCATTTTAATCGCAGTAACTGTACTTTGGGCATGATTTCAAGACTTGAAACTTCCACAGGGCTTCCTTCCTGAAAGATCTAGTAAAGCCAGGTGCACACCTGTAATCCCAGCACGCAGGGAGGCAGATACAAGCGGATCTCTGTGAGTTCAAGGCCAGCCTGGGCTACAAAGTGAGTCCAGGACAGCCAAGGCTACACAGAGAAACCCTGTCTCAAAAAACAAACAAACGGACAGACAGACATTATCTAGTGAACCTAGAACATACCATGCAGGATAATCCAGTCTCCTCTATCTGTAGCTCTGGGACCTATATAACATTACACTCATATAAAATAATTGGTTGATGGTGCTTTCCTAGTTTTCATTGTTTTATGTTTATTTGCTTTGCTGTGTATGTGTGTATTAATATATGCATAATCTCACATGACTGTGTGGATATGTGTACATGTGTATATACATTTATGTGGAGGCCAGAGGTCAGCCTCGGGTGTCACTCCACTGGCCTGGGGGTCATTTCCCACTTTGCCCCTTCCCAGTTACTCTGTGTCTCTATCAACCTCTCTGTACAATTGGGCAAAAACCCAGCGTGGCCATTCCAGTAGTGTTCTGAGGGTGCCATGAGTCTGGGTCACTGAAATTTCTTTTAGCAGTCAACAGAGGATTGATGTTGACATAAAGGCACAATGGGACTTTTTGCTTAGGCTAGGTTGACTAGCCAGTGAGCCCCAGGAATCCTCCTGTCTCCATTGCCTCAGCTCTTGTGCCACCACACTAAGGTTGTTTGTTTGTTTTGCCATTAGGTCTGGGATTTAACTCAGGTCCTCGTACTTGTACTTTACTAAGAAATATGCCCCCAGCCCTTCTCACGGAATTGTCTTGATTCAGATGGTGGAATAGCTCAGTTGTTAAAAGTACTTCCCACCAGCCCTGATGGCGTGAGTTCAATCCTGGGCACTCACTTTCTAGAAGGAGAGAATCAACCCTTGAAAGCTGTCCTCTGACATCCATGCACTTGTTGTGAGAGTCATGCCCATGTGTAGACATACACACATATATACATGGACATTTAAAAATTGCCATTATTATGAAATCATTTGTTGTTTCTCTGTATTTCTATGGCAACATACATAATTTACTTTGTGAGAAGCTTGGCATTTAGAAGGTAGGCTGCTGAGTTGCCTGTTAACATTTTATAAGGTATATGCTTTCTCTGCTTTGTACCCATGAATTAAAATCATCTTCATCAATACATTTCAGAGAATTGGTCATGGTGATAAAAACTATGCTGATGCTGACCGATCTCCTATTTTTCTTCAGTTTATTGACTGTGTGTGGCAGATGTCAAAACAGGTAAGAATGTATGGGATGAATGTACATTCAGTGTTTAAATAGTGTCTTATATCATCTAAAGTTTGCCTACAGAATAATACAGAGCAGAAATAAAGATGAAATAAGCTTGGCCATGAGTGAATAATGATTGAATCCCAGCAATTGGGACATAGGAACTTATATTTTAATTACTACTACTTTGTATGTTTAGAATTCTCCATAATAAAGTTTACAAAATTAAATTTTTAACTGGATTATCTGTTCTAATGGATGTTCAGCAGGAATGACAGTGCCCTGGCATTTTTGTGTAAGGATGTCTGCTAACTCTTAATACTTTAAAAAGTAAACTCTTGACTACTTTTTCCTTTCTATTCTTTGACTTGTCACTTCTGTATTAGTCATATATGAAGTACAAACAAACAAAATCACCCTCTCAGATGTGTGCAAATGACAGCCTCTATTAGCCTTCCAGAATTCTACAATGTAGCAGCACTTAGTCACTCTTGTCATCCATCTATGCATCTTTTCTTGCCACAGTGTGTATATGTATTTGTGTTTCTTTTAATTCTGAGTGAACAGTAATATACCATAAATTTCTACTTTTATGATGCTCTCCATACATTTTTTCTACCTGTGAGAGTAAACTCAATTTTTCATATCCTCCTTTTTTGTTCGTTTTTATCTAGTTCCCCACAGCTTTTGAGTTCAATGAACACTTTCTGATTACGATTTTGGATCATCTGTATAGCTGTCGATTTGGTACTTTCTTATTCAACTGTGAATTGGCTCGAGAAAGACAGGTGAGCAAAAATAGTAATGTGGGTTAAGAAGAATATGAGTGTTTATGACGCATTGGTTTTGCCCTTGAGGAGTAGGAGTGATTTTTAAAGTATATAAGTTCTCCTTTGTGAAGCTCTATGAAAAGCTATGTAAAGAGAATTTTAAGTTTGTTCTTTGAGAATTTAATACAGTATATTTTTTGAATTTTTTCTGTATTAGTATTATTCATTACAGTTTATTCATCTTGTATTCCAACTGTAGCCCCCTCCCTTTTCTCCTCCTGGTCCCACCCTCCCTCTCCCTTCTACCTCCTATAACCTTCCCCTAGTTCACTGATAAGGGAGGTTCTCCTCCCCTACTATGTGACCCTAGCCTATCAGGCCTCTTTAGGACTGCCTGGATCGCCTTTCTCTGTGGCCCAGTGAAGCCATCTTGCCAGGGGGAGGAAATCAAAGAGGAGGCAACTGAGTTCATGCCAGTGACTGTCCCTGCTCCCCTTACTAGGGAACTCACATGGAGACTGAGCTGCCCATGGGCTACATCTGAGCAGGGGGTCTAGGTCCTCTTCATGCATGGTCCTTGGTTGATTCATCAACAGAAAAGTCAAGCACCAACTTATTCTGCATTGCTGTTTGGCTACCCAGGACTGAACTCTGCCTGTGTGTTATCCAGGAAAAGTGGGAAGAGAGGGGAACATGAAGACCTGTTTAGAATAAGCTACCCATCCTCCATCCTTCTATGGAGCTAAGGACTATGGCAGAGGTTCCCTTTGAGGAGAGGGCAATAATTCTAACTCACTCTTAAGTATTCTAGAAGAAGGTGATTATTCTCTCCCTCCCTCTCTCTCTCTCTCTCTCTCTCTCTCTCATAAACTGTGAAGGGAATGGAAAACAGTGCATCTTAAAAGCGAAAATGTAGAATTAACAGTCAAAACAGAAATTTCAGTTTTAGGTTACATTTTTTGAAAGAACTGGGGGAGTGGGGGAGAGCCAGGTGTGGTAGCTCAAACCTGTAATACCAGCATTTGGGAAACTAATACAAGAGGATCACAAGTTTTAGTCCACTTAAGTTCATGCAGAGTTTCAGGGTAGGCTGGCCTACAATATTAAAACCATGTCTCCACAGTCTTACTTCTGTCTCAGCATAAAAACGAGTAATGGTTCCAAAGTAATGAACAGGAATGGGATAAGATAAATACAATAGAACACGTATGTAGAGATTTTTGCAAGACAGATGAAAGTAGGTAGAGACAAGATTTCAGAAGGAAAAGGTATCCATTTATAGTGAATCAAAAACTATAGCAAAAATGGGAACTTAGAAGGGATGTTTGTAGGGTTCGAAGAGAATAAGGCTGATGGCTACCACTAAGAATAAGGACCATAGAAACAAATGTTCAAACAGATGAAGGAAGAGAGAAGGGCAGTTAAAGTATAGGGAGGAGCAAGGAAGAAGGAAGCCAGGAAAAAGGAAATAAATGTTTTCTCATGTCCAAATGATAGTAATAGCTGTTTCAGTTTACTGGCTTGTCCCCTTACTATATATAAAAACATGTACATAGTCTTAATTAATTCTCTTGATTATCTTTTGTTAGGCTCAACTAGATACCTTGCCTCATTAAATCTCAAGGAAAGTATGCATAAAAAGAAAAAAATAGACTTCATATTGATTTTAAATGTTCTCAAGGAAACTTGTTTTTGCATTTTGCCCTGTCTGTCATTCTGAAGAGTGATTGAAAATTTTAGATTCATGAAATCATTTTCCAGCAGATTTACAATGTAATCACATTCCATAGTGTGTGCTTCTTGTTCTGTGAAATGAATCAGAACACTATAACCATTTTATCTCTTCTGAGAAGAAGAAAACTCAAGATGAAGAAAAAGGTCTTCCTAGTCAGTTGTATTGGTTGGCATCTTAACACAGGAAGGAATTCTTGTTAGGGAAGCTACAACCCTAAATAAACTACTCAAAGAAAAATCCATCACTCCTTTAAAAAAAAAACATGTCTCTAGGCAAAATAAATACAAAATTGCAAGCACATTAATGCATAGCATAAAATTAAATTCTGTATATGTGTATTAGACATGTAAGAAACATGAATTTTATGTTTTACTGGATTCCATCCCTAAGATACCTCATTATATATGTGCTAATATCCCAAAATCAGAACAAAAGTCCTCAAGCCAAAGTACTTTTGGCCCTAAGAATTTTGGGTATGGGATACTCATGTAGAATTTGCAAAGAAACAAAAATCAGAGTGACTTGGGATTCTTCAATGACAATATTACACGGCTGACCTTTAAGGAAGGAGCTTCAAGCCAGCTTTCTGCAGCTACCAAAACTGACAACTATCTATGAAAGGAGAACAAAGACACACATAGCATCAAGAATGATCTACCTCATGGGCAGGGGAGATAGCATAATTGGTAAAGTGTTTGCATTACAAGCATGAGGACCTGAGTTCAACTCCCAGAACCCACATAAAACCCTAAGCAAAAGGGAACACACATGTAATTTCAGCACTATGCACATGGAGGCAGGAGGATTCCTAGCCTAAGTAGCCACTCTAGCCCAATTGGTAAGCTCTAGGGCATTAACAGACCCTGTCTTTAAGGAGATGGACAACAATTCTTAGGATGACATCTCCAGTTGGTGACTGGCCGACACATACATGTGCATGTGCTCCTGCATATACAAACTCACATCTGAAAAGTGAGCTAACTCCCCCATGCACTCTCCATTGGAAGTGGCAGAAATATGCACTTCATGAATAGAAAAAGTAAGACTGCACAGAATTCCCAGAGTGAGAGCTCTAGCACAGGAACAACTGGTATAGATTGAAGCCCCTATGACAGAGACATTGGGGTCATGTGATGTTTTTAATATTCTTTAAAGGCATGTGACACATTTAAGGAGTGCTTGGTGTTAACTTAGTCAATGCCAAGAAAAGTAAGAAGACAGTTGTGAAATCAAGAGAATAATCAATGAGTGCAGGAAAATGAAAGCAGTCACAGGACTGAGACTGGAGAGTGCAGCTGCAAACAGCAGGTGTTTAGTCATCAGAATCAGACTGGTAAATGCTGAGCTAATTAGAGCTAAGCTATAGACTAGGGATGTGTGACAGAAAAAAAAATAGAGTCTGTCTGTGGGGCAGGAATAGGAGAAAGAAAGTCATTGTGACCATGCCAATAGTTAACACCTGCAACTAGATAACTATGTGATAGGGATAAAGACATGCACTCTAAGGATAGGAATACAAGTACCAGATAAATCAATTAAAAACACAAGTTGCCTCAGACTTTATAAAAATGTGAAGATTCCTCAGGAAATTAAAAACAGAACTACTCTATGATCCACCAAGCCTGCTACTACTGGTTGTATATCCAAAGAAAATTCAAAGCCAGGCCTGGTATGTCAAGCTTGTGATCCCAACTAATATGGAGACTGAGGTAGGAGGATCATAAATTAAAATACTGTCTGGGCTACAAAGCAAGATCAAGATTGGCCTGGTGGCTTGGTGAGACTTTATTCAATTTTTTAAAAAATGCGGGCAGGGAAATGACTAAGTGAGTGGGTAAAAGTGTTTACCTCAAAAACCTTGTGAACTGGGTTCAATCCTGTTGTAGGGTTATTTTTGCTGCAGTGAAACACCGTGACCAAAGCAACTTGGGGAGGAAAGGGCTTACCTGACTTACACTTCCATGTTCTTGTCCATCACTGAAGGAAATCATGACAGGAACTCACACAAGGCAGGAACCTGGAGATAGGAGCTGACACACAAGCTATGGAGGGATCTTGCTTACTGGATTGCTCTCTGTGGCTTGCTCAGCCTATTTTCTTATAGAACCCAGGACCACCAGCCCCAGGGTGGCATCACCTAAAGTGGCTGCTATGGAGTGTTTCCCATCATGACAGAACGTATCTCCTCAATTTCATGGTGTTTGTGTTCTCAAAAACATTTACAATTTGTAGAGTTTTTTTTTATTTTATACATTTTACCAAATTTTCACTATGAACTATAGAAAAACCAAAGATGAGAAATAGAAAATACAAGAAATAAAAATACCAAGTTACAACTTGACTCTTCCTAGTAATAAATTCAGTGATAAGTCATAACACTATTTGAACCTACTTTATAAAGTTCATTTGTACTTTTTTAATACCAAAATTGGTACTGGATTGTGCTTATTTAGCACATTTTCTGTCTTATATTATGTACTATACATAGTTTTAAAAGTCAATTTCATAGTTCTGGGAAAAAGTAATTTCTCATCTCCCCTCGGAAACTACGGTTTTGCTTTTTCCAGCTTGTTTGAGGTCTGATGACAAATGCAAATCTTTATATTTGAGGTTAGCATGATTTATTATTTCTTTGAAGTTTTTTTTTTCCAAGGCAGGGTTCTTCTGTGTAGCCCTGGCTGTGTTGGACTCACTTTGTAGACCAGGCTGGCCTTGAACCCACAGAGATCTACCTGTCTCTGCCTCTGCCTCTTAAGCGCTCAGATTAAAGGCATGTATCAGCACCGCCCCAATTTATTATCTTTTCTATAACTAAACAAGATACAGGAATTTCTTCTTGGCTATTATTATTGGCTTCTTGGTGTTCCTTTTTGAAGTCATTACTAGGAAGAGTCAAATTGTAACTTTGGTGTTTTTATTTGTTTTATTTTCTATTTCTCAGCTTTGGCTTTTCCATAGTTTATAGTGAATTATGATAAAATGTATGTAATAAAAAACAGATTTGTAAACTTTTTTCTAAGAACATGAATAGCAGTTAAAGACTGAAAACTTGATGCATATTTTTTCAAATGTCTGGATGTGGCTGTTATGCGGATTAAATATCTGGATGGTTGGTTACAATAACTGTCCAAATACCTGTTGTCAAGTAGACATAGGTTAAAACTTTGTATTTCTAACAAATAGAAAACAAATCAGAAACTCAGTGGGGTCTCCTTTGAGTAGAATGAAAAAGACAGTATAGCCCATCTGTTTGTAAATGTTTTGCCTAGCCAGGAATTGTCTTTGTAGATCAGTGAATTGCATTCATTGGCACAGCATTCTGAATCCTGTCTCCCAGCAGAAGCAGTGGCTCTCAACCTAGGCAGTTATCTATGCAAATATCAGTAAGTGGACACAAGTGCTCAATGATGCTTTTTCTTAGTTATTATGGAGGTTAATATAAATGTGTCATTGGAGCTAATACCAAATTGTATTGCCACAAGCTGCAGTATGGTTTGTGAGTGTGCTTACCTTTCTGCTTTCTCTCTATATAGAAACTTACAGAAAGAACAGTTTCTGTATGGTCGCTAATTAACAGCAATAAAGACAAATTCAAAAATCCTTTCTATACAAAAGAAATCAATCGGGTTTTATATCCAGTTGCCAGTATGCGCCATTTGGAACTGTGGGTGAATTATTACATTCGATGGAATCCCAGAATCAAACAACAAGTAAGTGAAAAAATAACTTTGCTGTACTGAATGGCTCCACCCTAGCTAATATGATGCCCTTTGCTATCCTGGTGGTTTGTTTACATTCTGGAGACAAACAAAATAAAGAAAAATACTTGCTAACCCTAATTTAAAATTGTTGAGAATTACACATCATTAAAAAAAAATAATAAATAATTCCCTGACATGGTGGTGTGCTCTTGTAATTCTAGCACTTTTAGCTCAAAGGCAAAAGAATCAGAAGTTCAAAGCCAGCCTCTGCTACATAGTGAATTTAAGGCCAGCATGAGCTATATGAGACCCTGTCTCAAAAGAAAAAAAAAGTTATCTGCACTGACTAGACATACTTACATGATCTTTTCAAAATAAGGAAGCATTTCTACACGATGGTTGAGATGTATATATGAAGTGAGCTGCCATCTGTGTGCTTCTTACTGAATATCTCTCTAACTAAAATAAAGATACCAGTATGCCAATGGTTAAGAAATTTAGCTAGCCACTTAACAGCCAAAATGGAAGCAGATTTTTGAAGTGAAAATCTTCACATTTTGATAAAGACATTTCCATGGCGATTCCATTACTAAAACTTCATCCCAAAACAGAAGAAAAAACAGCCTATTTGTAAGAAGAGACATTGCCTCCACCTCTGGCTTTGTTCTGAGCCTTGGAGTGCTGTAGTGGCTCTTGGTAGAATTTTGCTCATTTTTCTATGGTGAGGGGCATTGACTGCCTGCACAGTTTAGCCTTGCTAGAGACTCAGCTGTTATTCTACCAGCAGTGGGCTGGGGTGGCCAGGCAGGGACCTTCACCTTGATTTCACTGGCTTCTCTACACATGCCCTGGCTATACTCACTGACTTATACTCACTGGCAAATTGCCCATTTCAGCCTGGCATTGTCATTTTGAAATCTCTGCTGCTCGAGTGAAAGGCTTTTGTGATGTGGTCCTTTTTGAAATGTGACAAGTGCTAGAGCTTGAGAACATTCACCCATTTAGTATAGAATTTACTGAACAGTAGTTCCTGGATTTAGAATATTGGGTAAAAAGTAAATGGGATCTTTTCTTACTGCCATTACAAAGCACTTTTTTTTCCAATTAAAAATTTAAGATGAGCATGGGGGCTAACATTTGTCCTCAGCACATTGAAGGCAGAGGCAGGCAGATTTCTGTGAGCTTGATTCCAGCTTAGTCTATATAGTGAGTTTCAAGCCAGCCAGGACTAGACAGTGAGACTTTATCTCAAACAACAACAACAAAAAACAGAACATGTGCGCACACACACATACACACACATACTGTGCACACTAAACAGTGTCTTCTAAAATAAGCCCTTTGTATATTTATCTTTTAGCCATTGGCTGTGAGAAAATATTGACAGTGTCTGTGAAGATTCTACAATATACCTCTCCATTTTTACTTATAGAAATTTATGCAGTACAAGGAATTTTAAATTATTCATTTCTGACTATAAAAAAATAACAATGATTATGTGACATTATTTGCTTTGGGGACTTTTTGATTGGTTTTTGTTTTGTTTTGCTTATAAGACAAGTTTTAAGGGACATAACCATCAGAACATTCTATAAAGTGTAACCTGCCACCCCGCCCCCCGGATTCTCTAAAGGTTTAGCAAAATGGTATCTGGACAAATAGGAATGCTCATTCTTTAGGAGAACCTTTTACATTCAGACATTAGTTGTTCTGTATCATGACATGTTGGCATCTATTCATAAAACAAAATAATGTTCCCTATGTAGATTTTTCTAACTATAGTGTTCCTACACAAATTGATGTACCTGAGTACTTTACACTTCTTCTACAAAATGTGGGGTGTTCCAATGTGTCCTGCAATGGGAGTACATAGGTATTAGAAAGAGATGGTCTCTGCCCACAAGACTCTCCAGGCTGGTGGAGGCAGCAGGAATATAAGCTGATGATTGCAGTGCACACGGATGAAGCTGATAATAGAGGTGTGGATTAAGTATGTGAGATATCTTTAAAGATCTGCTTATGTAGAATATTACTTTATAAAGAGATTAAAATCAAATCACATAGGAGTTTCTAAATTATATAATGTAAAACTGAAAGAATGTATTTAACTGCTTAAAAGTTAAGTGGTAGTTATTCATTTGTGTGACCTAGGAAGCATTCAGTTACTGGCTGCCTACAGAATTCACAACACAGTGATATGCTACCTGTGTTGTAAGAACATACAGCCCCTCCCCATAATAAGCTCTTAGCTTTGAAGGCCACGTTACCCTGTTCTTAAAAGCAGACTTTTCCAGTCCTTGCTGTGACATCAACTTACTAACTGAAAGGATAACAACAGGGCCAGTAATATATAAACCAGCTGACATGTATGGCATTTAAGTCATTTCTAGTAGAAGGATTAAAAGGCATATGAATGTAAAAATATTTGAGGTTTAAAATGCTTCTATGATGAGCTATCCTGGGGTTTGTATGACATGCTGAGTTGGCACACATTTTACTTCACTGCTGGTAAGTAAACTGTCTTTACATACTATCATAAATGGACTCCTCTGTTATATTCTTTAAGTGGTTATTGTGTATCTATAGGTTAATGGCTTCTATGTATTTTATACTCATTATGCTTCTCATTTGTAAGTTTCTAATGTCTTTTATTGCCAATACTTTAGAAAACTCATTCTAATTATACATTCATGCCACTGCAAAATGATTGTTACATCTGATTTCTTTTTCTTGTCTAAGTATATGTGCTGATTTTAGTATTCAAACTGACTATAAAGTTTAATATTCATATGGAAGATTTTTAAATAACCTAAACCATTTGGGAGAATGTCAAGGAAGAACTTGCCCTTCTATGTGTCAAGAATTATGTGATCTAGACATGGACAAGATTGTGCTTGTCTGAATCTTGTCATGGTGGTACTCATGAGGTTTACCTCCCCTGAGGATTTATAGGCAGACTACAGTAGCTAGGGGACAGTGGCTCATGAGTACTCATCTGTTCCCCCAAGAACTTATAGACACTTCACAGCTAGGAGTAGGGACTTGTGAGCAACCCCCAAAGATTAATAGGCAATAAACAGTAGCTGGGGAGTAGTAAGTCATGAAGCCCTGCCTCCCTGACCCCAACCCCCATGGAGATATCTTCAGTTAATGGTTTTGGGGAGGAAGGGAAGATATCTTTTCTGTTTATCTGATACTTTACCCATGTTTCTGTAAACAACTCTAACTAAATTCATCAGGTCACCAGGAAAAAGAGGCATGAAAGTAGGAAGTGAAGACTAATTCGTACATGATAACATATAAAACAAAACTTGATATGACCTGGGAACAGACTAGCATGCCTGTGGAGACTTGACATAATAACAAGGTGATATTATTTATTGTGTAAATAATGGTGGGATCATAAATTAAATATCACATATCCATCCAGAACACCTGAGATTCCCCTCCATCTCCTCTTTGTGCTGTCATTTTCATTTAAGCTCAGAACATTACCTCTAGTCACCCTATCGGGAAACCTAGAGTCATCTGAGTCATGTTTGACTCCTTCCTCTCTCTCAACCCACAGTCAGAGAACCCATTTGGCTGTCAAAATATATAGGGCATGGAGAAGGAGGGCGGAAGAGATGGTTTAGTGCTTGAGAACACTTGTTGATATCTTCCAGAGGACGTGGGTTTAATTCCTAGCACTCACATGACAGCTCAAAAGTGTAACTCCAGTCCTAGAGCATGCAAAACCCTCTTATGACCCTTCTGTAGACAGAAGATTTGCACTTGATGCATAGACGTACATGCAGAAAAAAACCCAATTCACATAAAATTAATACAACATACACACGAATGTTCATGCATGTGCACA